ATCTTTTGGAAAGTAGCTGAATAATTATTGAGATTGAAACACCATTTTCATTAATACTCAATCATCTCTCAATTCAAGTTTCAGCACCACTTTTTATTCGAATTCATGATTCCTTCCTTTTTCTCACTTTTTCCTTCATCATTGCTCGTCAATTTTTGCAATTTATTTTTCTTTCTCTTTATATTCATGTGAGAACTATTCTTTTCTTTTCCTTTTCAACTGCTTAACTTCTAGTGGAGCTTACCTCAATTTCTTCTAACTTTTTGATAATTGACATTTCAATCTCAATCAAGGTAAGTTCTTATGGAAGTGGTCTAAACAGTTTAATAAGGTAATTAAAAAAATTGGTCTCAGGCTCAACATGGCTAACAATGGATGATTTCTCAGGTAGCTATTTGTCCATAAGCTTAATAGAACAAAATGCCTCTATCACTTCAATCAACACATGCATTGGAGAGAATTAGATCAAGTTCTAGAGTACCACTCAGTGAGGACTCTTAAACAAAATTAACTGTATAGGCACAAACCTCACAAGTTATGGTATCAAACTAGACTCCTCTTAATTTCATTTCAAGCATCATTATCATAGAAATCAAACAAACGAGCAATCATAATCTCTATTCATGCTCTATGCAATGTCATGACAATCTTGCATATCATGCAATGCTTCCTCATATTCAACCAAGGAATTGAAGTAGCTATGAATCTGCTGAACCTTTTTCTGTGTGTGATACCTCGATTGCCGTGTATGCGGCCCCAATTCCCAGATTTAGAATATTCTGTCCTCAGCAATAACTAAAGTAGTCGGAGAAAATACTGCTGCACAAGTATAAACATCACACATGTGAAATATCAGGCAGAAAATAACATAACCAATGTACTGGAGAATTATAACTCAAAATACCAAAGAGGTTCAAATTACCCTAACATAAACCTAGATGGTCAAACAAAGACAACGAAAATAAAACATCAAAATAAAAATTAAAGACAAATAAGGGGAAGGAAATAAAAATAATAATAATAAAAACTCATTGGGTTGCCTCCCAAGTAGCGCTTGTTTAACGTCAAGAGCCTGACGTACCCCTTGTGATCATGCTGGCTGGTAACTCGGGCTCAGTGATGACACTATACCCTTGCTCAGAATTTGTGTCCCGCCATGGTTATACTCATATGCATGTGGATAAGGATGAGGGTTCTCAGAAACTTTAAACTTAGTCCTCACATGCTTTTCCTTACCCTTGGGCTTTTCCATCTTAACCTTCGGCTTGCTTCCTTCATGCCACTGATGAATTTCCTGCTTATTCCTTTCCTCAACCTTTTTCTCCGCAATGTAATTGACTTGATTCTTAGGTTGAGGAGCAGGCAATGGAGGAGCTTTATTTATAAGTACTTTGAATATTGCTTGCTCTCCATCCACGCGCATTATCAACTCACCCTTAGGTACATCGATTAATGCTCCTGAGGTTGCTAAGAATGGCCTCCCGAAGATCATAGGCACACTGGCATCTTCATCAATGTCAAGGATAACAAAATCAGCAGGAATTAGAAATTTGTCTACCTTGACTAGCACATCTTCCACAATACCATGTGCTTGCTTTGTTGAGCGGTCGGCCAGTTGAACATTCATCCTAGTTGGCTTGACTTCATCAATTCCCAGCTTCTTCATCAGGGTTAATGGCATCACATTAACGCTGGCACCAAGATCACATAAGACTCTCTCTATAGTTGTCTTGCCAATGATGCATGGAATACTGAAGCTTCCTGGATCCTTCAACTTTGGAGGCATGTTTTTCTGTAGGATTACACTGCACTCCTCTGTTAATGTGACAGGTTCATCCTCTGTGAGCTTCCTCTTCTTAGATAATGTTTCCTTCAAGAATTTGGCATATGAGGGCATTTGCTCCAGAGTGTCTGCAAAAGGAATATTAATCTGCAATTTCTTAAAAATATCTAAAAATTTAGACAATTGCTTCCTTTGCTCATTTTGCTTTGGCCTCATTGGATATGGGAGTTTCTCAAAACGTGAGAAATCCCATTGCTTCTTTTGAACTGCATGAGGTTGTTCCTTTGCTTCTTCTTCATCTTTTTGAGCTTGTTCATCCTTTCTTGTAGAAACTTCAACTTTCTCTTTTTCTAGCTCCTCATTCCTTGTAGTGATGACATTGCATTGCTCCTTTGACACTGCATCGCTCTTTTCTTGACTCCTCTCAGCTAGTTGTCTTGAAAGTTGGCCAATTTGAGTTTCCAAGTTTCTGATTGAAGCGTCTTGGTTCTTGTGGTAGGCTCTTGTCTCATTTATGTGATCATTAGTGGTTTTGGAAAGTTGTATCATCGCTTTCTCCAATTCAGATGGCTCTTTTTGTGGCAGAGGAGGAGGTTGCAGATAGTTGTTGGATTTATAATCCAAGCCGCTCCCTTGATTCCTCCTTTGAAAGTTATTTCCTTGGCCGCCATTTTGATTCCTTTGGTAACCTTGAATATTCTGCGGAGGCCTTGGATCATACCAAATTCCATTGACCTGGAATTGTTCAGCTCTATTGAGTGTAGGGCACTCATTAGTATCATGCGGCTCCTTGCAATACTCACAGTTAAATATATCAACCTTGGATGTTGAGAGCTGCATCTTGTCCAGCTTGGCATTCAAACTGGCCAATTGCTGTGAAATCACATTTTGCTCAGCCAGTGATGCATCATTATTCCCCAATTGTAAAATTCCTTTCTTGGGCTGAACAGATGGGAATGCTGCTGCCATAGACGCATTCTCATTCCTTGCCATTAAATCCAGCAGCTCTAAGGTCTCATCTGCTGTCTTCTTTCCTATGGTGCCACCAGCTGCACCATTGACAATCATTCTGCATTCTGGCGTCATCCCATTATAGAAGACTCTGACCTTCTTTGTATCTGGCAAGTCATATTGTGGACACTTCCTGATCAACTCCTGGTATCGAGTCCAGGCTGCACATAAAGTCTCTCTGGTTGTTGGGTAAAATTGGTGATTTCATTCACCAACTTATTGTACTTTTCCATGGCAAAGTGTTCAGCAAAAAATTTAGCCGCCAAATCCTCCCATGTTCTGATGCTGTTGGGAGCTTGTCGATCCAACCATTTGAGAGCTCTCCCGGTCAATGCAAACGGGAACAATCGGAGTCTGATCGCATCGTCTGACATTCCGTTGTGTTTAGTTGTATCACAGATCCTTAAAAATCTGTCTATGAAGTCATGGGGATCTTCATAGTCCTCTCCACCAAACTGAGTTTTCTCCACCAAGGTGATGAGTGCTGGCTGGATGTCATAATTATTAGCAGCTATCGGTGGTTTGACAATACTCGAGTTTGGCCTTGTGAATTGAGGAGCCAAAACTGATTCCATCAGCTCAGCTGCTGGTGGATTTTCTTCTGCCATCTCTGTTTATACTTCAAAGTGTGAAGTAGAATTTTCTGCTTCAGAATGTGAAGTAGAAGCCTCTGCTTGCCTCTTCTTCTTGGTATGTTGTCTTATCCTCTTTGCAGTCCTTTCTATCTCTGGATCGTAAATCAAAGTTGCAGGATCAACTGTACCACGCATAAACTAAAGCAAACAGATTAGTAACACAAAGATCCAAGCAAGAAAATCAAAAGTTATAAATAACTTGGCGTAGTCAATCCCCGGCAACGGCGCCAAAAACTGCCAAAAACTTGATCGTGAAATCGGCAAGTGAACCGATCGTACCAAATAATAAAGAGTGAGTAGAGTATCGTCTCCACGAGGATTGAGGCACCTAAGTTGTTATAACTATTCCTCTCTTGTTGGATTAATCAAAATAGGTTGAGAATGATTGTAGTTCATGAAACAAACTAAAACAATTAATGTAGAAATGTAAATGATTCCAAAAGTGCTTTCAGAATGCAAGAACAAAAGATTGAGGATGGAGAAAATATTTGAGAAAATATTGCGGTAAAGAGAAACAAACACCTTTCCGATCCCCACCTTGCAACTTGGATTACGTTTACATTTACCTATTTAATTGATCGAACAATTCATCATCTTTTATATGAGTAGTTAAGCCCTAATCCCTTAGTGACTTTAACCTTGTTAACTCTATTAGAATCCTAATCCCTTAGAAATCCCTTTTCGGGTTAACCCTTAGAATCAATGAACCTTTAACGTTCGCTGTTCATGTAGCCTATCCCTAGTGCGTACATGAACAGTTATCTTATTCTTTGTCAGGAATTAGAATTCCAACATCCCTATTGTAAACCTTAACCCTCGCAATCCTACTAGATTGATCAGTTCCAATAGAATTATAGAATGAAGAACAAGAAAAGATAAATGCAATTAAAATAGATAAACATAAAATTCAACCAAGGTACAAGGGGTTCACATCAAGGGTTGTGACCCTTACCACAATGATAAAACTAGCCAGACATATTCATGTCTGACAAAATAACAATAAAAGAAAATAACATTTAAAACCTAGAAGAGAAAAGGAAGATGAAGCTTTTTCGTCTTGATGATCGTATCCTTGAATCTCCTCGAAGCTCCAAGAAATTCAACTCTCCTTGTTGTCTTTCTCTTCTTCGTTGTCAAAAAGTCCCTCTCCCTTATGTTTCTGATCCTTTTATTAGGTTTTGGGAAAACCTATTTTCCTTTGCACTCCCATTGGGCCTTATTTTAGCTGATTCGCACTTAAAAATATATCGCCCACGCACGGGGCGCCAAGCCTGACGCTCCAAACTTGGGAGAAACAGAAGCTGAATCTGTCAACGGCGCCCCGGGCGCCAACTCTGGAGTGCCGTGCACCAGTACCGCGCGCCGTGCGCCAACTACCGCGCGCTGGGCGCCAGATTGGAGTGTCGTGCGCCACCTCCCTCGCTCCGTGCGCGGCCGAAACAGAAGCAAATCGTCGATAAAGCGCCCCGTGCGCCAAGTACCGAGCCCCGTGCGCCAACCTCCGCGCGTCGTGCGCCAGCGGGAAATTTGGTTTCTCCGTTTTTGCTCCTTTTTGTGGCGTTTCGTGCGATTTAACATATAACTTGAGTGAGAGCATGATTGAGAAGGAATAATCAATATTTCTTGCATTTAATGACTATTTTCACACATTTATGATTAATTCATTGCTTCTTTTAAGTTAGAAAACATCATCTGCTAGACTCAGCAGGTATTATCTTCTAATTCAGTAAGAATACACATAAACCTCACATTGATATTGACTTGAGCGTTGGAGTGTCATTGCAGGTACCCCCAGTCAGGCTCAACGCGCCGAAGGAGAACCAAAGTCCTCTCATCATCATCATCAACCACCAGCCCAAAAGGCAAATTACCCAAAAGCCTTCTCACTTCAACCGTGTGTGATATGGCCCAGTATACTTTGACCAGCCCATATTGTATTTGTCTGATCAGATATCATTTTTAATACCAAATCCTCTCACTATCTGACAGTGGTACTAAATATCTCAACTAGAGTGAAACTTTTACTTTAGAGCTGATTCTAATAAAATTAAAAATAATATATATATATATATATATATATAAAAATTAAATATATATAATAACAATAGAAAATTATCACTATGCAAATAAGAAAAATAAAACGAATTATTTTCTTTTTTTCTTTTTGTTTTAGTTTCTTTATTAATTTTTTATTTAATTTATTAAAAAATAGCTCAGATATATTTTTTTCATTAATTTGTAATATTTTGGCTGCAAAAGTATCTTTTAAAATACATACATTACTTCGGAAATTATCTTTTAAAATATACATACATAAAAATTCAACAATTACTTCTGAAAATATCTTTTAAAATAACTAAAAAATGAATTTAAAAAATTAATTCTTTGGTATATCTAATTATCTATCAGATTCATTAGAAATAATTACTTTTTTAATTTTTAAAAAAAAAATTAATACTTTGGTATATCTAAGTATTGAATGTAACTTTGATAATACAAATAAGAATATTCGAAAATGTACATAAGATCTTTCTTCTAGTCAAAGTTAAATATTTGTTATTAAGTGATTTGCTTAAAACAATTTAGATGACTGGCACTTTTATAAAAATTAGAATTATGATACATTTTTGAACAAATTAAAAATGAAAAGTAATGAACAAAAAATAAACCTAAGAGGCAATGAGACTATAATTCATTAGACTTTTTCTTGTTTGCTTAGTGATATAATTTGATTATTATTATTTTTTTAATTTGTGTTGGTAAAAACTCAATCATTAAAATAAGTCAAATATTTGAAATTTAATTGTGTAAATAAGTAAAGGTAAGTAATAAAATAAGTTTGACAAATCAAAGATATAAGTTAATGAAGGACAATTTAGGTAATCGGAATTATAAATAACTAAGAATTAATATGAATAAATGAATAAAAGTGTTAATAATTTTACCTTTAAGTTAGTATACGAATGAACTTCTTATGAAAAGAGGAACATAAAATTAAAAAAATTTCCATACAGAGAGGATATTAACCGAAAATATTATCATTAAATAATAAGTGAAGATGTGTGTAGGAGGGGGAGATCTCGTTTCCATTTGCATTTGATTTTCATCTGGGAATTGTTTTTCTCACGTTACATGATAAAATAACAATCTTCTTATACATACAATTCAAATTGGGCTTCACCTTTGGTTTTTTCTTATTTTACTATTTAATGGACTCCACGTATATTATGAGTGTATAAGAAAATGATTTTTTATCATGTAACATGATAAAACAATGGCTTAAGTGTCTATATTAAAGGACATAAGTTGTATCCTTTTAATTTTTAATACTATGTCTTACCAGTAAGACATAATTACAATATGAAAAGTTGTTCTTTTTCTCTCTCCATGTCAGTTGAAGTGACTAAGGAGAGAGAAAAAAAAATCAATTTTTCATATTATAACTATGTCTTATCGATAAAATATAATGTTTAACACTAAAAGGACACAGTTGAGCTTGTGTACTTTAGAAGGACAAACCTTTTTCCCTAAAACAATTCCCCACTTTGTATTACATACAAGGGTTTAATGTTTGTCATTTAAAAAGATGGTCCTTTTAGATAAATGTAGTGTATTTTTTTAAATTACAAAATTTTTCCTCCACTTTCTCTCACACATAACTTGTTCCTTTATCTCTCTTAAAAGGATATAAGTGTGTGTCCTTTACACTTTTCCCTACATACAAATATAAAATCGAATTTCATGAAAATTTTATTTTAGTCACTAAAAGATAAATTTGTGGTCAAATTTGTATCATTTGAAAATTTTATGTTTTTATACAAAGCGAATTCTAGTTCGCAATGTTAGAAAAATAAAATAATAAAATAATAAAATTAAAAACAAAGAATTAACATTTTCTCATTACCTTCAAATTGTTGGGATAGATGACTCAATAAATGAAATTAAATAAAAAGTATAATATCAATAATAAACATATATAGTATGTCTTATTTATAGCAGTAAAATAAATACACTGACAGAGTATATCTTCTTATATAAGAAAATTATAAGATTACATATTCTTTAAATAATTTTATTGTGATATAAATAAATATTTAATAATTAATAAAAATGATTTTTTTTATAAATGCTTAATGGTGTTAAGTTACTAGCTGTAAAAAGTAAAAATAAAAATAAAAATAAAGTAGAGTATAATTTTTTTATCAAGTTTAGAATTTATTGTCGTTTCAACAAATCTCAATGTAATTAAGAGTAATGTACTTGTTTACCGAAAAAAAGAAGAAGAGTAATATACTCTATATTTAACACACAAATCGTTCTTTTTATATTTTGTGTTTGCATAAACTTATTTTATTTTTAAAAAGAATTTATAGTTAATATTTTATTTAATTTTTTTTTTGAAATAAAAAACAATTTTTTCCAATAATAATAAAGGAAACC